TGTGTGTGTGTGTCTGCATGTGTGTGTGTGTGTGTGTTGCTCTGTCTTTCTCAATGTCCCATAATCACTGCTATCCTCAGGCTGTATCAATCATACTGCATTTTTCACATCTCCAAACCTAAACCCTTTTTCAAACTTTTGTGGCTTTCCGTGCGTTGCGTCGTCCAGCTGTTGCCTGAGTCATCCACAGGCTGTTCATCGCTTTCTACTCCCCTTCTTCTTCTCTCTTTTTCAGTCTTCAGATGGAGGAAGTCCCCTCGTCCTAATGCCTGGTGAGCAAAAGGCGGCAAAAGATGCATTCCAACTCCGACGACGACAAGCTGTCACCCTAACAAGAACTTCCGCAAGTGCTTAATTATACTCCCAAATATACCCTCAATCATACCCCCAAAGGGGCAATTTTACCCCCAATTATACCTCAAAACATACCTTCAATTATCCCCCAAATATACCTTCAATATTACCCCCAAATATACCTTCAATCATACCCCCAAACCAAAGAAGGGGGGCTGGGTGGGTGGGTCGGGGGGGGGGGAGGCAGAAGGATGCAAAGGACTACAACCTGAAATGCTTGGCTTGTGGTTGTTTTTGGCCTGACTCGTTGAAATTGCACACTTTATCTTCTGTGCTCTCATGGCCTCTGCCTAGAGGATAGCTGCCAGCGCTGGCCTGTGCCGATATCAGGATCGAGACCCTAGCTGTACGGCGGAGATGCATATGACGACTTTCTCCATGTGGCGGGGAGAGGACGGCTGGAGCCATCCGGCGTCTCATGTGGGAGGCCAAGCTCCCGACGGCCACGGAGAGCGAGGAAAGGGAGGCGGAAAGCACAACCACAGCCAAGAGCAGGAGGACAAAAAAGCCAAGCAGGACGACGACGATGACGACGACGACGAGGAGGACGATGAGGCTGAGGGAGAGGGTGGCGGCGTTGGGATCCCCACCTGGGTTGGGACAAGTCATCATTGCTTTGAGGTGAACGACTGTCAACCGAATATGACCGACCTTTTCTGTTCTTAGATGAAGCGGTTGGGATCCCAGCCCAACTTTGGTTGCGGTTGGGACAGGTTATCATCATCAACTGCTTTTTTCGATCAAGAAGGATGATGTGAAAAAATGGCACCAAAAAATGGCACCAGGGCCCAGGCATCTATCCAGTGGGATCCCCAACCTGACAAGTCGGGTTGGGACAGGCCGGCATCAATTGCTGGTACACCAGTTATCTTAAGGGGAGGGAAGTATGTCATCAGTGTGTGTCGTCAATCAAATCGGCAGCCAGGCAGGAAGTAAGCGGTATCGTCAGAAGATCGTGTGTCGATCAAGCTAGCTGCAGTGCAGTACAGTACAGAGAACCTAAGGGCATACTTGCATCAGGAATCGTAATGAATGAATCTGACAACGAATGCGGTCAGATGCAGTGTGAGTATAGCAGAAAAAGGTGGTTGGTAGACGGCCGTGTGTCTACGAAACTGCAATTGACTACAGAACTACAAAAGGGTGTATATGTGCCTCTCGACTTCTGCGATGGAATCTGGTCATTCGTGCAGCAAGATACATCCCTGACAGTTCCCAGCGTATGACCAAATACGTGGGATTTCTAAGGAGAACATTTGGCACAACTGAACTTGTGCCTTTCTCTTCACAGAGAGCTTCACCACCCTCACACTGGATACCCTTCACATGGTTTACGGTTTAGCGTTTTAGGGTTGCGGGTTCAGACGTAAGGGTTTAGGGTTTGGGGTTTAGGGGTAAGGGTTTGGGGTTAAGGGTCATCTGCGTGGTTGGAAGCGTGAGGGAGGAATGCTACCCTTCGCATGGTTGAGGGTTGAGGGTCGAGGAGTAAGGGCTTAGGGCCTTAAGGCGTAAGGGCTAACGGTGTAGGGGGCAGTTAAGGGTTTGGGCTAAAGGGTAGGCGAGTTCACGGGTAAGGGTCAGGGTTGTAGGGACGTAAGGGTTCGAGGTGAAGCGTGCAGGGAACAGGGGTTAAGCGTCACCTTCACGGGTAGGGGTCAAGTGGGAGGACGAAACGAGAGATGCGAAGCTCCGTCAAAGGCAATTACTACGAAGAGAGAGATCTGCATATCATGGCCACGACTGCTTGTACTTGATAAGCACTAAAACCACCAATATCTGAGCAAAGTGCGCTGGCGATTAAACCACCAGTACTTGGCCCATATGTCGGCCGCGGGGCGTTGTCGTTAACGCCCCGCAAGTTTCGGAGGCTGATGCTGCCAGCCAAGACAATTTTTTTTTGTTTCGCTGGCGAGTTCGAGCGAAACGGCGCGCAGGGCTTATCCGGGCTCGGCATTGATAGCTGGGCCAAGTACTGGTGGTTTAAGAAGGGGGCTGTGCGATGGACCTACGAACCTGCATGTTGTGCCTGGTCAAATTCATTCAGAATTGAAAAACTGTCAGCGGTGCGCAGAAGCAGTGCCGGATACTTGCGGTTTAAGAGCAGTTAGGTCTCTTAAGGTCTTAGCTTCAAAGCTTCAAAGCTTCAAAGCTTTGGCCTTTTCGCCACCACCTTATTCATCGGCAACCGGATAAGGTTTTGCAACTACTCGCAGCCTTATGCGGAGGCAGCTGTGGGTACCGTCTTCCCCCGAACAAACCACACCCTGATAATGAAAATGTATACAAGCTAAATTTCCGGTCAGGTACAAGCCAAAATGAGCGACGTGCGTTGTGTTCGGGGGAAGACGGCAGTTAAGGAGTGTCGTACGGAAGGAGGTGTCACAACTAGTGGGCATTTGGAAAGCAGTGACAGCTTTGTGCTAAGCTTGTCGACGTTCCACAGGAAGAAGCAGAAGACTTAATAGTTCAGACGGCTGGAAGACAGCGTCACCAGTTTTAGAAGAGAGGGAGGAGAAAAAGAGGAAGGAGAAAAAGAGGGAGGAGGAGAAAAAGAGGGAGGAGTGTCGTGGTACATCGACCTGTGTATTAATTGATGAAGTTATAATCTGTAAATACTTCAGAACATTCGGAGTCGAGGATCGATGAGAGTGCAAAGAGTTTTCTGTCCCTTTTCATTCTGTTTTCATCACCAAGTGCAGGCACAGAGTAAGCAAGCGCACACGCACATGAGAGAGAGAGAGAGAGAGAGAGAGAGAGAGAGAGAGAGAGAGAGAGAGAGAGAGAGAGAGAGAGAGAGAGAGAGAGAGAGAGAGCGGAGAGAGAGAGAGAGAGAGAGAGAGAGAGAGAGAGCATGCAGTGCGTGATGATGGGGGATGACTGGGAAGTGGAGTAGAGAGGGGAAAGTAGTGTCTGATGTGACTCGATTCATAGCACCAAGTGAAGTATTCTGAGGACTGGCACCATCAGTAGTAGCAGTAGCAGAGTAGCAAAGTAGCATATCTTTTTTCCTTGATCTTATCTTTTCCCGGTGTTCACGTTTCTTTTTCTTTTCTTCTTTTGCCCTTGTGTCGTCCACGAATTTGCAGTGAGATTTGTACTATGGATCATCAATTTCACAGTGAATCTGAGAACAAGGTTTGTATATTTGTACAGTTGTGGTGGAACGGTTAAGATGGTGACAATCGCCATGTTGCTGTCAGAGAATGAACTTGTCACGTCTCTATTGCCAGTAGTGTTCAACGTGTCGGAACAGTTGGAGTCGACTTTCACTGTTCCAAAAGACATTTTGGAGTGAATTTGGCCGTAAAGGTGACCAGATTATGTCCAGGATGCCCACATGGAGGTGGAAAAGAAGTTGATCTATAAGGCTGAAAAGAAAGATTGCCTATCTTTTCTTTTATATCGGGTTAAATACGATCAGGAGGTGCTAATTCAAATCCTTCTGCGAGAGCAAGAGAGGATAGATGGCTATATGAAACACAGCTTTTGCTCCGATTACAGTGGAGCTCGGTGTGCCAGAATCAGGGGTATAAGGTTCGGCAGAGGGACGAAAGGAAGCAAAGGAAAAGCGAGGAAGGAAGGACAGAAAGAAAGATGGGATGAAGAGGAGGAGGTTAGGTGTGAGATGGTTGTCCTCTTCTTTCGGATATGGCGGAAGCTCAAATCCATGGCTGAAGTTAGCACACGTTGAATCAAGTGGATCAGCTGCCAGATATATCCCTTGGAGTATGTGGAGGCCTTGAATGCGCGCAGCAGCATGGGTAAAGAGGAGGAGGAGGAGGAGGAGGAGGGGGTGGAGGAGGAGGAGGAGGAGGAAGAGGAGTAGGAGGAGGAAGAGGGTGCGTGCGAGATGTCTGTCTTGTTTTGAGATGGTTGGGAGACGGTTTCCGTCTGCGGCATGAGAAAAGAGACAGAGGAGGGGGAATGGTGGAACGAGGAGCAATCGGGGGGGATAGGTACCGAAGAAGGTACGAAAGAAATGGATGTGCAGTGGACGGCTTGTTTCAGATGCATGGTAGAGGGCAGGGTGTCTTCACTGACCCTAAATGGGCACGGGGGTTTGTCCAAGGGTGATTTCAATGGCCCAAATGGGGCCATTTCCTTTCGTATGTGATGACCCATCGACTCTCCAGCACCATGAGAAGTAAAGAGGACGAGGACGAGGACGAGGAAGAAGGATGAAGATAACACGGTAGTAAGTGCAATCATCCCCATGACCCTCTTGCTTGCAAGATGGGATAAGAGAGAGAGAGAGAGAGAGAGAGAGAGAGAGAGAGAGAGAGAGAGAGAGAGAGAGAGAGAGAGAGAGAGAGAGAGAGAGAGAGAGAGA